AAAGGAAAAATGGCTTCATGGAAGAAGACATCATGACTGATGAAACCTTTTTAGTGTCTAGGTCTAACAGTTTGAAACCCTTAATGCCATTTGGAATGCCTAAGAAAACACACTTGCGAGCTCGAGGAGCACTTTTGGTCTTATGACCTTCAACAATGGTTGCATAGGCAAGGCAACCAAAGACTCTCAAGTGCATATAATCTGGAGGGACATGATGGAGGACTTCAAAAGGTGATTTATGGTTTAAAATAGGAGTATGAATTCGATTGATTAAGTAGGCAACATGGAGGACAATATCACTCCAGTAGGTTAGTGGTATACTAGATTGAAATTTGAGAGACCTAGCTACATTCAACAAGTGTTGATGTTTCCTCTCAACATGGTCTTAATAGAAGTGAAAATTGATTTTGAACCATCAAACAGAAAGATTGTAAAATGGTTTTGGCTTCTGATTTAGCTTTCATGAGAAAAACCTTAACAACTCTCTATCATTAAAACTGTCAAAAAATAGGAAAACCTTCTCAAGACAAAGTGTTTAAAGGCCCCCCAAATGTCAATATGAATTAGGGCAAAAGAACCTGAACTGATATAATTGCTTGTAGGGAAAGGAAGTAGTTTTTGTTTGGACAAATGACATACTTCACAGTGCTTTTTCAAAAACAAAGAAACATCATTATAAACTTCCTTAACAACTCTCATTTTAGACAAGGATGGATGTCCTAATCTAGTGACTCGCACGAAACTACACCACAAATTAATCCCAACTAGAGTCCAAGTTTTTAAACTCTAGCCGGGTGCAGTATAGAGAAAGTATTTAAATTGTCAACTCGGGTCGATCCATGTACCCCTACTTAAATCGCTTAGGTTGTTATCTAGCAAGAAACTTTTGGGTTTATAACTAATGGAACTACAAAATAAACAAGCAAGGAAAATTAAATAAAGGAAAAGTCTAACTAAGGGAGCTTCACCCGGAAGTTGTTTCCCCCTAACTAGCTACCACGACTTGTTGGATTGAATGAAGTGGTGAGGCGTAGGTGGTTGTGAACCTTGGGGTGAGCAACTAATGATCAATCTGTCACGGCATCAATTCACTAGCGCTCGATTTGTCACGAGATCAATCCACTCACCAAGTCTAGGGGAACCGCTAGGAGGATCAACTAGCGATTCATTTGTAACGGGATGGATTCGCTAGGGATCGATTTGTCACGGGATCGATCCTCTCACTCATGCTCTAGTGGTTGCCTAGGTTTCTCCCTCAAACCGGAGTTTCAGTGCCTTAATCACATCCAACCTAGATGCAAACTGGCTATCGCGTACCGCAGAGGGATGCATATGTCACTGGAGACCACAATATCAATTGCTAAACCGAGGTAAGCATGAAAGGCCGTGTAACTCGACCCTCTCGATTTAGAAAATTGGTAGTTGACTTACGCTCTCACTCAACTCAAGGTTGGATGACTTAATCACGCTTAACCAATTTGCTTAATTCAACATTGAGGTTTGCCCTAAATTAACCTAGGTTAAAGTGGCTAATTAGATTGCTAGCACCAACATGCACAAACCTAAGGGTGCTAAGCACAATTATGCACAATCCTTAGGTTGCTAAGCACCGCAATGCACAAACCTAAGGATGCTAAGCACAAAACATGCACAACCCTTAGATTGCTAAGCATGAGCATGCACATTCGACATCAATAATACCTCAATCCTTGAATTAATCACTACCCAGTGACAATCATTCAATCTAAACAAGTTATTACAAAGTATTAGTTAGGGATCTACATCACCCAAGAGAAAAGAGTGAGTTTCTAGAGAGAGAGAGGGATTACAAATTTGAGCTCTTTTTCTTCTTCTTCTTCTAGGCTTGAATCTTCCACCAAGCCTTCAATGATGCTCCAAGATCACTCTACCACTCTCTCTCTCACTCACTAGAACTCCCATTTGGTGTTTTAGATTGAAACCCTAGAGAAAGAAAGTGTTTCTTCTCGAAAAACCAGCTCTCCTCTCTCTCTCCCCGCTATTGTCTTCATATTTGTCCGAAATTGACCAGTTCATGGACGCGTTGGCCAGTTCACGGCCGTGAACACCTAAACGCGTTCGTGAACTCAGCATCGTCCAAAACACACCGTGAACTGCCTTGTCGTCAGTAACTTCAGGAAACTCGTTGGACGCCTCGGTGTTACTTCCTCGTCTGGCCGTGAATTGCGTTGTTTCTTGGACGCCTTCAATTCACTACTATGGGGCAATTGTCACGGTCGCTTGGACTTTTCTTCGGTTTTTGCGCTTTTTGACCTCCAAACATCCCAAAACTCGTCCTCACGTCCTAGGACCTGAAATGTATCAAAACAAGCACAACCTAGCGAGAAATATGTCGAGGAACGATGAAATACTAAGCTAAAGAATAAGAAATGAGGGTTAAAATGTGTACATTTGAGCCCGAATCACTCCCCCACACTTAGACGTTTGCTTGTCCCCAAGCAAATTTAGTACAAAACAAGGTAATCCTTCAACTTCTTTTTCAACACAATTTTTAGGGCATGTCATAGGGCACAAAAAGAATGAATCAAATGGTTATTTGACACCGACCTATGGACAAAAACAAAGTAATCTCGACAACCACCACAAATGACATTCAACTGTATTAAGATTTGTGCAAATGAAGAGTTCGCAAATTATTCATGACCCCACACACAACATGCCTTGATGACTCACCAATCATAGATACTCA